ATATTTAAGCACATCTTCGAACGGAAAAATATTTTTGCAGCGTGTTCGCAACCCCGCCAATGACGGCAGTTTATAAAGAAATACACTGTACTGTAACATACATCACCGGGGCGCTAGTTTAACTTTTGTTTTCTATGATCGTTAACATACAAAGTTCTAACTTAGCAGACCAATCAATGGTGTTCCCAAGGCAGAACTGCAACAGTATAACCACTTACTGGACTTGGCAGCATATGACCCTCGACGCGAGGCCATGAAACGTTGGTTCATGTCTTGCCATAATACGCAATCTATGTAAGTAGTTTAAGTTCGGATGTTGCAAAACATTGTTGCGATAAAAAGTAATTAGCTTTCTGCTAATGCTGCTTAGGATGTAATGCGCAAAACATTTTAGCCTTCAGTGACTCCCGTAACTGGGTAACGTAACGATACAGATGCGACGTGCTTTGAGTGCCAAATGCCCATCTCTGAATGCTTTGTCATGGTAACTATATCTAACAAGCATACTGCTACGCTAGTTCAAATCTCAGCGCTGGTAAAAATAACCGAGGAGTACTCATCAGGAAAATAAAGAATAAAGGAAAAATGTAGATTTAAGGAAAATAAGGTATTATTATATCTGCTTGTGACATTACAACCTGACCAACTAAACTCATGTGAGGTTTGTTGGAAAAACCCCACATTAGTTTAGTTAGTCAGGTTTCTAACGAGGACAGATTCTCGGAACCACCTAAATATATCTACAAATAGGAAATTCCGATGACTTATTTATATAGAATAAACAACTAAAAGTTTCTGGCCAAAAAAAACCAACGGTTCGAGTAACAGTGAACACCCAGGCTGGCAAATGGTAGCTTGCAAGATATCCTACCTTACCATGCTTCAGAATGCAGATATCTGCTTACACGTAAATTATCCGCTATGAGCTGTCCTTAATGGTACAATTTGCACCATAGGGAATTAAACAATCTCGAGTTGATTTCGTATATAAGTATAGAACCTTCAACAACAAAAAGTGACAGATCCTTACGGCACTTACTAAAAAAAAAAACTTGGATTTCAAATTGTATGAATAACCTGCTCTCAAATAACGGGCGCAAAAGGACAAAATGCATGGTTTTCTGGAAGTTAGTCCAAACAATCACTGTAATGAGGAGCTTATTTTTTTTTACCTGAAAAAAGCGAAACACTTAATAGTGACGAATTGTCGACGCATAGCATAGAACTTTTTGGTGTCTAGATGATGTTCACTTACTTTAACCTTAATAACTTTCACAAAGAAGATCTTGGTAGTATATCTTCTCTTCTACCATGTGTAGAGAAGTCACTCACGAACTGCAGCTTCAACTTCTGACGCAGTTAGTTCATACAATTCGAGTTCCAGTACAGCTTGAACTGATCGGAATGAACTTTTTACCTAGAATTAACGTCATCTGGCTAATCCGTACCTTAACGTCAGCATCTGATCAATAAATCAACATGCTTTACAGTATCCATTCATTAGGTTTGAGCTACGAAAATGCTGATTGCAACGGTGTGCCTTTTGTTGGGGGTATTTACTACGGGGGGGGGGGAGAGGGGTATTGAGAAGCCTTCCATCCACTGTCATGCAAGGTTCTTTCCCGTTGGTGCACATTTTTATTCATTCATTAAAAATTTGTATTTTTTAAAAAACTAAGCGATATATGCGTGACAGTTCAAATTTGTAGGAGTTAGTGCTGTAACATATTAACGTATCCTTAAGGACACTGAGCATGTTGGACCTTCTGTTAACTACATTCTCAGTCAGTTCTATCAACAACATAGAAACAGTGTTGTTAAAACGTTCACTTTAACTTGTAAAACTTCAAAGGGCCCAGCTCGAATATCGTCGTCTTTTAATAATTGTCTCTGTTGTCTCAACTGTTCCTAGTCATCCAGGATCTTGGATCCTGGAAATCGTGAAACAAGTCGTTAAGAAAGTTGAAAAGTTCCAGAATTGATAGGTATGTAATGGCGATTTTCGCAAACCGGGAAGAAAATCATTAATGCTCGAACTACGTTTCAGTAAGATGCTTGTCGAGCTGGAAAGAGAATCCTTATGAAATAGGATTAAACGTTATTCGGTTAGAATGTTTCGACTTGCGTACATCATTTATGCCCTAAGTGCATGTAATAATATAAATTTAAAAAGTGACAGCTTCTAATGGCAACTTATCTGTTGACCAAGTGGGGCCTCAAAAATAATAATAAGAGTAGTAATATTTATTCTTATTATTATTCCCTTATTATTATTATATTTATTCTTATTAATTGGATAGAGCATTGCATTGTATACACTTGCCATCAGAACTTGACAATGCTCGACTTTATGCAGAATTTTATTCATGAAAATGAAGCCTAAGATATAGAAAAAAAAGGAGTTTGGCTAAAAACTCGACGAGCGAAAGCGTGTTGGCAGCTGTCTGCTTTTTTGACAGCGACATAGATGTACTACATAAACGTATATAAGCAAACAATTAATGCAATCTCTTTATATATTAATCAATCAACCCTTTATATATTTACCTTTACCCCCCCAAAATATATTTCAAAAGAACTAAAAAATAATTTTTTAGACGTATAATTATAATAATATGAACGATAGAGCGTTTGGGAAGTTTTAAGTTTAAATTAGAGAGAGAATGGGACCAACAAATATGATGCGATATTTTTATTTTCATAAATCCTCCCGCTCGATGTTGCCCATTACAACTTGGTTGTTTCAAATCTTTTCTGACTTATTTAGGCAATTAGCCTTGAGGCATATTTTTCGGGCAATAATAAGTAAGATAATGAACCTTTATCACAAAAAACTTGAAACCAAAACTCATGTATTCATTCTACTAATAATAGGTTTGAAACAACATGTGCATCACGGGCAAGAGGCTAGACATCCAACAGAGACTCTGTTGGAAATCTGTCTGAAATCGGGTCTTAAAGAACCAAAGGAGCGTCAAATGTCTAAGCTGTGACTTTATATATAAATCACTCGTAGCTTGAGATGATGGTAATTAACAAGACATTGCGACTCTTTTTTATAGGACAAGGGCAAGTCTTTCTTTTTAATCAGACTCAAAAATAAACCTGTTAAATAAATAGCTATCAGAATCCCATCAATAACACTGAAAAGCACGAAAACCATTTTTCACCAGCATCAGACACGTACAAAACTTGTGTCAAAGTCTGGCAAAGTCTATGAAACTTTAACAAAATAGTTTTAGATATTCTTTCACCAGGTCCCTTGAATAATACGAATACCATTTAAGTTTTATAGAATTTAGCATCATTGTTGGTTTTGATCAATGGTATAACCATAAGTAATCTGCAATCTTCCTATATGAGGTATACTGCGTGAGAGCATTGCGGCATTAATTCATTCCGGTTAAAGCGTGGATCAAGCTTTACTTTGTGTTGAACTTCTAGTTTTATTGTACCTGAATGCAACGAAGACTTTAAACAGTGAAAGTTCCAAAAAAAGAAGTCGATATAATCATCTACCTGTATACAAGTCAAATCGATATTCAAGAATCCGAACACAGTCAGCCCGAGTGCTTCAGTTCAGATAACAAGATGTATGCAGCATAGTGCTGTAAAATGGAGTAAAGCATAGAAAAATCACAGATTAACATTTTCTGTTTTGTCTAGCATACATGTTTAGATGATTGCAGAACGCAAATTTCCATTGTTACTTTATGCCCCTAAAAAATAATTATATAATATATAATAACAAAGTAATAAATAGTGCCAAAGCTCAAAGCAAAAAGTTTCCTAACGAACCTCGATTGATATAGTAAACAAGGCATCTACCGAAGAAGCGGCATATTTGTATGTATTAATGTCTTCTGTACACATTCTTTTTTCACAGGGTAAGATTCCATCTATAGCCTATTTGCCTTTCGGTGAAGGTCAGAGTATGTACATCGGTAACTAGTTTGCGTTGATATAAATGAAGCACGTGTTGGCATTGATATCACTCCGCCTTCTTTCATTTTTGAATTTTACTGAACAGCACAACGAAGCCCCGATCGAAATTACGTGATCCTTCTATTCCCCAATAGAACACGTATTTATTTGAAGGGAGCTGACCAGCTACCGCTAGTGATAATCTGACGGTGCTCTGCAGCATAGTTTGAGCGAATTACTGTGATTTGTTATAAGGCAATAGGCACGATTAAACACAACCTTGCTGAATAATTGAATAATGAAGATAAAGGCTTATATTGTTTTTTGCAATTATAAATATAATGATGCTTATAAAAGGCATTTTTTCTTAGTTGTCTGCTATTTATATTTCTTACCTATATTTGTTCTATGTAATAATTACCTAATAGTAAACGTCAAAGAAATGCACATTGATATGTGTATATATAAAGGTTACCACGTAATCTTGAGTAGTAAATTGGTACACTAAGTACGGAAACGTTTCCAAGGCACAGGGCAGTGGAACTTAATCTAATTCGTCATTATAGTCGAGAAATATAACGAGACGAAGTTATCTACTATAGTGGGCATGAAAAAGTTAGCAAAGTTTCTATTTGAACGACTAACTTTCTACTGTAAGTTAGCCATAGAATAATCAAAATCCTTGCTATTGAAAGGTGTGCCTTTTAGATGCATTTCATGTGTCCTCAACTTATTCGGAACTTTCAAGTTTAAGTGACTTATTATAGCTGTGTCTGCCACCTTGCCGAAACGCTCTCAGGGTACACAGTCACATAAACAGGTCTTTCTGTTCTTTCAAATCATACTCTTAAGCTAAACAAACCAAGATTCAGACATTGAAGAACAAGGTAATCTACAATTGTATTGATATCACAACTACAAATCCTCCATTCAATTGCTACAAATAGTGCACATGCAATACGATATAAAAAGTATATGTTTTATTTCAATCAGCAAACATATAATTTTCTCTAGCAAATTTATTACATCTATCTATATATATATATATATATATATATATATATATATATATATGAGTATATCGTCATCGTAAAGTTTGAATATGTACAGAAATGCAACGGTAAACAAAAGATTATACTCGTCCTATGAAAAACGTTATTTACAGAGAGCATATTAGAATCACTACCCGTAGCGATTCCCACTTCATTAGAACTACACGATTTATTTGTCACGTCGCATTTGACTTCGGCAAATGTCACCACTGGATAAATGCCACGGGGCATGCAAGGGGCCGCTCATCTGATATGAGTTCTAGGTAAACTTTTTGAACGCGAAAATCTCTATTTAACTCAGCAAGCAGTGGGGCTTTAACCTGCTTGTGGAGTTCACAGTTTTTTTCGAACTTATCTCGCAGAGCGACACAAGAATGATATACCTGTTCGTACAACATGGTCCTTTCCTCTGTCTCCTTGTAAATGTCATTCTTCATGGCAAGTTAAAACATCTATTATTTCTAAGCCTACATATGAGTGTTCCTAACACGCACTAGCCCTGACATAAAGCGAAAACGCTGTCACCATAAGCATTATCATAGAGAATGTCCAATATGTGCTCAAGACAGCGCTGAACGAGTCGTTCTTGTAGCGTCCCTCGAGTCGTTTGCGGTAGTTGTTGCTTTTAGCAAATTTCGACTTTTTTGTGGATTTTGGTGGAGCCTTCTTCATGGGCCCAAAAGAAATCGGCTTCTTGGTTGTAGATGTCGACGATGTCATCGTTTCGTTTCTGAAACAGTATCCGCCAAAAACATGATAACAAAAGAACAAAATATTGGGTACTGTAGTATCGCTCACAAATTTGTCTTTGTGGGAGCCGAATTCATGGTACTGAAATTATGATGCAATCATCATACGATATATTAATACATAAGTGGTCGTCACTGATGATCAAGTAAATGATTTATTTATATATTCATATATACTTATAGATCGATATGATATCAGTCTCAAATGTCCTCGTCACTGGTACCATTACATACTGAGTGAGTCAATTATAGTTGGTAAAAATATTTTAAAATTACCACATCAAATAGAAAATGGAGAGAAAAGTTCTAAATGGATCGTTTTCAAACAAGCCGGATATTTTATTATTCGAAACATAGACGAATCGTGCTCACCTAACTGCTCGTCAAATGCACTCTCTCTACCCTTCCAGAAAAGAGGTTGACGATTATCAACAGTGACTATAAATCTATTTTCTGATATACCAGTGTTGTCGTACGCCTGGCAACAACAACCTAATCCAGCTGCATGTTAGCTATGAAATCCGAAGGCAACTTTCCGCTGAAGTGGAAAACACAAGTTGATCTCTTGCTTCATATATATTATATAGTATTGTGTTTACCTCTTATTCGCAAACAAATCGACTGAAGTACCTCTCAGCTATACTTTATCCCTATGTGACGAACGTACAGAAATGGTCCGTTGTAAATACGCATAGCCTTGTTATATTGGATTAACTGCAGTCGAATCAGTGAACACTGCCTAATTGCATTTTGTTTTCCCGCTATCGAGCTGTATATATCTCAAATACCATATGAATGCTTGTGTATCACGAAGCAATGGGGTAGTAGTAAAGTGAAGACCCCCTGCAATACACGTAACTGTTGCGTAAACTATGGCCGAGCTGCAGTCGCGGGATGAAGCCGTGGCTCCGTCGATCAAGGCCATTATGGATCAGTCGATTTCACATAGGGAAAGGCTGAATGTCTGTTGCCAATCTTAAGTGATATCATCGCATGGGTAACATATTGTAGCTAACTGGTGGAGCTCCGTTACATAATAACCGGCCAAGCTTTGTGCTTATACATATGGATACTTTTGACACCAAAAACGAAAAAATTATCGACTAATTACGATAAGGATTCTTTTTTCATAGACTATAATACCGTATAGTGAGCACGTTGAGAGTTGTATCAAGGTTCAGCTCTACAGAAATGTCACATCTAGAGCTAAAGTGAACATACGACATTTTTTGTTTAGCATAACAGGCTGTGGATAGTAAACTATTTTTTACCAATATTTAGAAATATAAGATTGTACTATATGAACCTTACCAGTAAAGAGATTATTTGAATAAATGAAGTAGCCGTCTGCATCTCTCGTCAAATTAGAACATAGGGCTATATGATTATTCTGAATATATGGCACGGAAAACTCCATCGAAGGACTGGGCCGATTTAACTGACCTGATCACAAACATCTTTTATATAATGCTGATGTCAACATACAGTGCTAAATATTTTGAATAAAAAATGCACGTTTGATGATTTAACTGTTTAGCTTGAGTTAGAAGTTGTCAGTTAGTTGCTATAATTTATAGAAAGTGGTTCTTAACATAACGCCTCGGTGGTTTACAAAAATGCGCAATTCTATGTAAATTAGTAAAGTGCATAAACTCTGCAAGATCGTCCGTTTTCATATAGGTCGCAACGAAAGCCGCATTTTTTTTAAACGTATACCGAACTAAATCGTAAAAAACATTAAAATAAAAGCATTAGCTGTCTCTAATTTAAAACGAAGCATGTACCTCTCACTCTTATGAACATTCGATTACATAAAGCTGTTACCCGCGGTAGCAGACGAAATGTGGCCGCTAAACATGCCAGTGTTTTATGAAGTGGAGAATGAAAACCAGTCGACTCGAAACGAAATGAATTCAAAAAGAAAAACATCTTTTAGTCTCGCGTTTTTATTACCTAAAAGCCATAGTGCTGCGCAAATTCATCAAAGATTGGTGAATGCTTTAAGCAAAGAGGCCCTAGGCGAAAGCACAATACGCGATGGCAAAAACGCTTCAAGAACGGAAATTAAAGTATTGAAGGCAAACGAGTAGATGACCAGATGTCGAAATTCAAAAAAATGAAAACAGGAACGCTTTGCCACAATCGAGGAAGCTTTTTATAAAATCACAGCTTTAACTGCTAGAGCTCTATCGGTCAGAATTGGTATTCCATACATGGCATGTTACAGAATTGCAACACAAATGCTGAAAGAGTAGAAATGGGTTCCCCGTGAATTAACTTGAACCCAGTTAAAAATGTTCATGGCCTATTCGACGTACAATTGGCGGAATCTTAATTAAGAACACGGTCGCCGCAGACGAGGCATGCTTCAGTTTTTACCGCCAGTTGGACGGGGTCCAAGCGAGAAAATAGCGTTGCCCTGGAGAAAAATTTAGTTCGGTGGCAGTATCGGGTTGGTAGTCTCAGGCAAAACTGTGATGGCGGTGCTTGCAATGGATGTCAGGGATATCTGCCATTATGAGCTACTCACCGACAATGAGACAATAAGTGCTGCGTCCTATCTTGATTTTTTTTAAAGGACCCATGGACTCTTGGCACGGCAATCAAAAGCACGCGGTCTGGTTATTCAATGATAACGCAAAGCAACATCGCCATGTGTCAGTCATTTCCTGGACAAAGCAAATAATTGCCCGACGTTGGCCGCAATCTCTTTATTATCTCGATTTCGGTGCGTGCGATTATGGGATTTTTATGTCCCGAAAAATTATTTAATCTGAAACCATTTCCTACTGTTGACTTACTTCGAAAAACCCTAAGTAGATGGATTATATACTGAAACGCGAACGGTAGATACATGATTGGTCAGAGCACCGGAAGAAGTGTGTAAAGAAACTGTATAAAGGAGAGTATCTCTAACGCGTGTTAGAAGGTTATCATTCCAGTCTAACTGGGTTCAAAGACATTCAGCCTTAAAGTCCACCAGAAGTACCTGTAGCAGCTTAATATTTTATACTAAACAATTATTTGAAAATATCGATTTCCCCTAGTAGAGATGTAGAATCATAAAGTGATTTTCTATATAGATTTTACAATCGATTTGAAAACCTTATGAAGAAGCTTTTTCGACTAAAGCGCAATGAGTTTCCTCTACGTCAAAAGGCGGTATTCATACGTCTACACAGATACTGTAACGTCGAAAATGATCTTGACGCGTCATTAGATCGCGAAAATTAAAATTACCAGAAGCTAAGAATATGACTGTTGCGTACGTTCTGATAAAAGCTCAATTCAAACCATGAGATACGCTTACTTTTTGAGTTTTCAGGATAATTAATATATTGGTTTTTTAGTTAGCCATAATCACCGCGGCAAAAGGATAAGGCCTTTAGCGATTAGCCAAAAAGCAAAGCGAAACAAGGCAGACAGCTAATTTTCAAGTTGGAACTTCAAAAACTGGTTATTCACAACCAAGATATGTGACGTACACACTTGACCTTTGTCGTATCTGAATTTAAAGACAGTATAGGGTTAATTGCGGTAAGTCTAGTAAAATCGTGATTTTCGTAACTTAGATACATTTACATGAAACTTATGAAGTGAAAAAAAACATCTTCAATGGCGGCAAATTTGCATCATGTTCGTACTTTCGTATAAGGTAGGGTCTCCATAGTTCACACTTGTCCCTCTTCGGTCCATCAGCCGCGATGGATATATTTTCGGGCGCTAGGTTCACGTACTTCTGATTAGCCGCTGAATACCGAGGCCACTCACCAGTCGAGTCAGGGATCGTCGGTTTGCTGAAACATTACAGAAAATAACGAAACACCGAATCAATCACGACTTCAACACCGGTATTAATATCTATAGAAGTAATGCGTCTGTAAGATGCTATAATCATTTAAACTATTTACTTCGATTTCTGGAATACAAGCAAATGGTAAAATCGCACTGTGATCAAATTGGCCATAATCTATGGATAATCAACTTTGTAAAGTAGAAGAAAAAGTAAAGTAGCTTTCGATAAATCACGCAGCTTTACCGAGTTTGCTCGATGAAAAAAATCAGACATTCGCCACACGCCAATCAAAAATAATCTATCATCTCAGCAACAAAATTAAACATCACATATGTGCTGTGTTATTTTTATTATTTAGTCTCTTCAATTAAAATTGAAGAACATGGTCACCGATTTATTTTCCCAGATGAAATTAGAGGACATGACCGCAAAGCCGTTAACACCTTTTAAGGGCATTTGGTTATTTTTTCATGAACGATGAATAGTTGACAGCTTGACAATTCAAAAAAAATATAACTAGACAAAAAAAAATAAAGCGTTCTAAAAAATATAACTCCGACACCTCCCAAGCGTAAAACGAAAAAGGACAAAACGATACTATTGAAGAAAGAATATGCAGTTTAAGCAAAATATCCCCACACAGCGGGGCGTGAACGACAGAAATTCGGAAGAATTTGCCGTGATTTTTAGTGTCAGTCGGTACATTCCAATAATGTCCCCATGATTCTCGCTAAAACGTGTACCTTCAGTCTAATACAATCAATTAAACAATGATAACCATCGGATCCATCTGCTTTTATATTCGTAGTTCTACTAGCTACTGTGATAACCTCTGTACGTGATGTAATAATACATTTGCAAGATTTATAGTGTACAATAGGGCGCCAATTCGAAGGTTCCAACTAGATGTTAAATTCGGCATTGTCGCTAATCATTGCTTCAAGCGGCCGACTTCCCGAACGATATTGTGGAATGAAGTGTGTCTACGCCCGGTTTCGAACCTAAACTTCTTCACGCGTGTCTGACTTTAGTAGACAAAAACGTTGCCGTTTTACCATGATGGGAACATTTGGAACTAATGAAGCTTGCCCTGTTTCCCGGCCAATACCCTTTCATGATAACAGTTGTCATCTTCAAGCCTTTGGCCCTCACAGCAGATCCTTAAGATTATCTCCTGATACTCGATTACTAGGTAGTCACACGCTTGCAGACATATATGTTATAGCAGATCGATTGCTAGCAAATGGACCAAGTTTCAACGACTGTAAGTTACTGTTAATTTTTTTTCACCGACTCAGTCAACCCACTCGCTTGTAGTCCATTTGTCTTACTTCATCTGTCTGATACTACATTTCTATCACCTGCTTGCCGTTGAAACCCCCTCTAGACAACAGAACTAATGAAAATCTACCCTTATAATACGCTTCGGTGAAGCAGTGCACTGCTATCATCGATAAAGCCCAGCCGCGCGCCGAGGTCACTATACAAGTTTTGCACGCGTAGACGCGAGTGTTTATATATATATCTATCTAAATAATCTTGTAACTTCGATTGTAAGGCAATACTAGCTGTGAGGTACTAGAAAGCGATTATTCGAGATCACAAAATCTAAAAATGAACTACAAACTCACGTGCTTATAAATCTTAGCGTCCGATCGATTTTAGCAAAGAAATTAAAAGTAGATAGAGAAAGCATATGTATCTGTCTGCGGCTAGTGTAAGGTAAGAAAACAAGGGAGTGTCGCAGATTGTTCCATTCTAAATTACGATTGATACAAATAGTAACTCAAAATGAACGAGGCGAAGACCGCAATCAAGAACAAATAACCCTCTAGACTGACTAGATATACACTAATTCAAAAGGGTCGTTTAATAATACAAGCCTTTGAAAATAGCGGATATAATAGCGACGTTCGGCACCGCTACGCGGCGCCCGTAAATAACTAATAGACAGTCTAATTCACTAAATGTATGGTTATCGATCACACTTAATACCTGAGAGTATTTTTGTCTTATTATTTGATTAGAAATTATCTTGCTTTATTGCTACACATGTTAGGTATATTGGGAAATTCGAAGGAGAGATTATATTTGGACGCACGACAACTGTTTCGCGTCCGCAGAAGATTTTATTTCCATTAGTCAATTAAATAAATTATAAAGCAACCACTTGGAAGAATCAAACATTGAAATATAACTAAACAGTGATAAACGACAACTAATAAAGTCTCTAGAGCCTTCTAAGACTCACTTAAGCTTGTAACCTTTCGCCGAAATATTAAAATTGAAATTAGCATTTGTTGAATGTATAGTCTTCATACGTTTTTCAAAACTCAAAGGCATTTTATCCTATTTTAGCTATCTGCAATTGGTATCACGGCGCAGTATGATATTCTATACTAAGCTACATCGAGTTACTCAACAATACCAGTCTTCTTTGGTCTGGTGATGACTTCCGCTAAAGAAATTAATAATATTCTCTATGAAAAATTACAAGATATATGTGAACAGTAAAACAATCCTGAATGGATTAAGTTAGCCAGGGTAGTAAAGCTTTTGACATAACATTTCTAGTTTCAGTCATCAGCAAATATATACATCTGGCTTGACCAAGTGGATACATCAACGTATAAACAGCTTTTGAATACGAGGCTTTATTTGCTTTCGTAGATACGGTAGACAGCCACTGCTCATTGAACTTATTTAAACAAACTACCAAACAATATATTTTTGCTTACAATTAATTATCTCACCTACAGTTTAATCTGTCGAAAATTATGTAGTCCTTTTTTTGCATAGAAATAACAACACTGATTCTAATTTAGCGAGTTATTAGTCTCTATTTGGGAGCTGTTGTACCATTTTTTTTTTACCGACCTAACGAAATAAATGGATCCGTAACAGGTTTATCTCATGCGGCCTGCTGTTCATGGAAAATTCCGCTCTCTAATAACTATCGTTTCAGGGGGTTGATAAAATGTTTCAAGGGTCATGAAAAGGAAACAGTCGACAGATGTGAGCTTTACCAGCGTCCTATCACCGAACAGGAAACAAAGAAGTCACGACAGCTCTCAAAAGACGTTATCTCGTTTTAAGTGTGCAGTTGTGAATCTGTCTTAGACTGAGAGCGAGGTGAACTTTAGTATTGATCTTATATTAGTTGACTACAGATGGGATTCTCCATCAAATCCTGCAAATAGATTAAAATGTTTGAGGAACTTAAGTTCCGTTTCGTACGACTCAATAGCGTTCTAATGCGTCCTGCGCCACTGAATCGCTAACGTTATTAAATATTTTAGATCTATAAGGTAAATCTACTACATATCAAATTTTGCATGATAGGCGCAATTGATTACGACAACGATAGATGAAAAACGTTATTTAATTACAACACGTAAAACGCATTTTTGCCTGTCCCTACCCTGAAAGACGTGCTACTGCGATGACGGCTGATGTCAAACGAAATATGCCGGCCCAAAACGTATCGCCCCTTCAGCCGAAAGATTTGCCACTGTATTTCAAAGCAAAGTATAGCTAGCTTTACGTCGATTGACTTAATCGACCTAATTCACCTGTACTTTGAGCAAATCTGTAAACATGTGTCAAAACGCTATATTTGTTTTTTTTTTCTGTTTATTTCGATTGAGTTTCGAAAAATATACGAAAAAAGTACCTTACCGCAAGCCTAACAGATCAACCGAAAAGTGATGTGACGGAACAGTATTCTACGACAACGTTTTACGGCATTATTGCATCCGCTGCGTGATTCCTTCATTAGCCTTTCACGTTTGTTGACCTATATAAAATTGCTATTTAGGCGCATGCTATATGATCTTTGTATACTTCGTATTTATTACATTTACTGTTATGGTGTGGCAGCTTCTTCGTTTCGTACCAATAGTATGCTTTCCGTCACCTAGGACTTTCACTGAATGATCGACCATAACCAGCTTAATTACCAAATATAAAGCGTATTACGTGTAGCATACGCGATACTTTTGCATGTATGGTAAAATAAGCATGAGTATTATAAAAATTATACAGTACATAAATTACAACCTGTATTTCCTTTAGATTCGACGTCGGGGTCGAAATCTTTAGATCAGTTACGGACCTGCTGCAAAGGCTGCACGTAATTTTTAGCTGGCCGAATAAATATCATACCTGTTTTTCTGTAACTTAAATATTTTCTTTTTCCATTTCATACTGCTTACTCTTGAAAAATGAATGAGAGTGACAAAACATCTTTTTTTAGCTTTCTTGCGTCGACACGCAAGAAACATAAACGTTGGGTAACCAAATTTTGCGTTGCTTTCTTGGTTTATGTTTTCTGTAAAAATGTACATGAGCTGTATACTGTTGAAATTTTTATATCAAATGAATCTTTAGATACAATTTCGAATCACCATCTACCAATTCTTCATGACCACGTTGTTGAGGGAGCTGCAACAGAATTTAAATTTTTGCAAACGCGCCAGATGCTCACCAAAATGATATTTGTGAAAAAAAAGTAAACGAAATTAACGCACACTGCGCATGGACCTTAAGTAGGAATATCCGAAAAGAATTATTCCTGTCAAAAAATCGTATTCGGAATTATACGTATATGTTTTTGACTGATGATCAATAGAATCTTTAAAGAACATTATTTTGTATTTCACATTATTTGAGCTCGTATGAGAGGAGGTGGTAATAAGTAGCAAACTAAGGCTGGCAACTTGTGAAGTTTCAGGCTACAAGTTTGCCTAGTAACCTTTGTGGAACAACCTGTAATTGCCATTTGTTCTCGACAGAAAAACTTGATCAATTAACTGCAACAGCGAACCATTTGTACTTCGTTACTGTGCGTGCCTATAATACGACGCAATTGCCAACTTACATTACGAAGTCAATGACAGTATATTTATTCGACGGTGCTACATATCGAATCCAAATAGAAGTAGGAAACAATTATGGCAAGAAAACTAAATAATCTGGTTAGTCATTGAAAGAATACGAGCT